GGACCCCACTTTGCGCTGATGTCGACATTATCGTGTCTAGTGTTATATACATATTTAATATTAGTTTGTGTATTTTGTTTCAAGGTAAATTAATTAAGATAAGTATATTGCTCGGAGTGGGCTCAAGACTGCTGGCAAAAAATAATGATTCGAGTGAATTCAACAAATAATTTAAGTTGAGACTTGGTTTACACTTATCTCTGTGCTCTCTTTTCAAAATTTTAATTTAGAATCCCACACTTACCTTTATTTTCTGGTCTACTCATACTTACCTTTCAAGTTTCAAGTTAAGAGTTCACACTTATCTCAACTTTCTCTTTCAGTCTTTAAACTTATTGTTACACACTTGTCTAGCGAGGATGGACCTTCTATTACAAAATTTTGACTAAAATTTCAAATATTGCATGGATCTTTCGTTCATCGGATCAAAGATATAAACACAATCACTGATTATTCTCAGATGATAAGGCAGGCAAGTCAAAATGCGAAGATGGCAACCATAGTTATATACTTATATATATATATATATATATATAGGTAGGTGATGCGTAGACGTGATCCATTAATTTGAGCGGTTACCAACTTACCGTACGGCCCCATACCCTGCTAGATAGATTTGTAATTAATGTATTTAAAACTCAACTCTTCTATAATTATCACCAGTGTCGTGAGCCCGTGACTAGTAAAGAAAATAAATAAATAAAATTCGCATATGCCATTTATTTTTCACGTAAAATTTAGGGAAATTAGGTGGAAGAACATGTTTCTTCCATCCACCGCTGAGTGACCGGTATAATTTTCAATATCAGTTGTCATTTCGTTTGCTCAGCTCGATTTTCTAGTTTGTTCTCATTTTTCCACAAATGACATCTCTGTAATTCTAGATCTAGCATTACAATATACTTAATACTAATATCTAGGACTGCGTTTTGTCAACTCGTGCTGCTTGTTTTCTGTGTAATCACATGTTTTTAATGTTAGATCTAGTTTTAGAGATTATTAATAGTTTGATTACAAAAATGGAGTGAACAATCCAGATCTACGCTTTTTAGATCTTACTTTCGGTAATACATCATTGATAGTAGTCGACTACTGGTTGCATAACGCCTATTCTAATAGCCTAGATAACTATTCTATATGAATTGTCCACCCCATTTTTCAAATTGCGTAGTTATCTACGTGAATTAAATTGTTTTATATAACTATTATTAGTTGTCTACTTTTTTGTCAAATCTCTGTGTAATTATTTGTCTATTAATAGTTGTCTACTTTTCGTTTTGTTTTCAGAATGACCAACATTCCTCTAGCTACAGACGCATCTCCTATTGAACATCTCTGTGTATCGGTGAATCATGTGCTTCTAAATTTATTGTGGTCAACTTAGATGTTAGTTGTTTTTCTATAAATAGTTGTCTACTTTATCTTTGTTCAGGTCGCTTAATAGTTGTCTACTTTATCTTTGTTGTCTACTAATATTTGTCTTATATTTGTCTACTAATAGTTGTCTACTTTATTAGTATATACAGAATGGCAAACAATGTATTTCTCCAGCTTCGTATGTATTGATCGATGTCTTTGTAAGAGTAGAGAGAGAATCTGCGGACTTCAGCTACTATTTTTCTATTAAAAGTTGTCTACTTTATCTTTGTTCAGATTGCTTAATAGTTGTCTACTTTATCTTTGTTGTCTACTAATATTTGTCTTATATTTGTCTAGTAATAGTTGTCTACTTTATTAATATATACAGATGGCAAACAATGTATTTCTCCAGCTTTGGATGTATTGATCGATGTCTTTGTAAGAGTAGAGAGAGAATCTGCGGACTTCAGCTACTATTTTTCTATTAATAGTTGTCTACTTTATCTTTGTTCAGGTTGCTTAATAGTTGTCTACTTTATCTTTGTTGTCTATTAATAGTTGTCTTATATTTGTCTACTAATAGTTGTCTACTTTATTAATATATACAGAATGGCAAACAATGTATTTCTCCAGCTTCAGATGTATTGATCGATGTCTTTGTAAGAGTAGAGAGGGAATCTGTAGACTTCAGCTGCTAGACCGTATATTCCTCGAATACGGTTGGAAACACCAGTTGAAGTGCTGTGAGCATTGCTACATGTTCACTCATTACCAAGTTGCGAGGAATGTTCTCGTGCCTTAGGTATCTACCATAGTAAACTACCTATGTATAGATGACTATGTTATGTACTCTCGTTATGAATCTTGTAGTCAACTACTACTTAATTATGAACATCTCGCGTTGCATTTGTAGCGTACTACTTTATCTGTGTATTAATTGTTATACACTTTTTAATTGTAGTTGAAATTATTGTATCTGATACTTAGTATTACTTGCTATTAAGATGCCTAGCGTTATGTTCTCGGATTTCAAATAAATAAAAAAATCGACAACAAAATAAAAAAGTCAGAAATACCCCTATTCTGCTGTTCATAATAGCCTTGCGAAGAAACACTAACATAACATATCCGAATTCAGAGTCTGTTAAAGATCAGGTTTGTAATTGTATAATTGTAGTCAAACATTTTATAGTCGCCTTTTTTGTATTCATCTACTGTAACTGTTCAGGCAACCGAGGATATTGCAGACTTCTAAGATCTGAATTCCAAGTCTGCTAAGTTCAAGTTCGTATTCATCTATTAATAATCATATATTTTATAATAGCTTTTTTATTCCTCTAGTGATATTGTTCAGGCAACCAAGAATATGTTAGATTTTCCAGATCTAAATTCTGAATTCGCTAAAGTTCAGGTTCATATACATCTAACAGTAACTATCTATTTTATAATCATTTTTTATTAGTTTCATGATACTGTTCAGGCAACCGAGGATATGTCAGACCTCCCAGATTCGAATTTCAAATCCGCTAACGACCAATTTTGTATTTATCTATTTGTAGCTGTCTATTTTGTAAATGATTATTTTGATTTATATACTGTTACTGTTTAGACCACCGACGATAATGCAGGTGCAGACATTCAGACCCGAATTCTGAGTTAGATAAAAGACAGGTTTGTATCCATCTATTAATAGTTGTCTATGTAATTTATATATGTAATCGCATATGTCTTCTATTTATTTTGACTGTTCAGGTTACTGATGATAATGCTGGCCGAATCGATCCAAATACCGAAGAAGCTCGAGAACAGGTACGTAATCGACTTTTAATATCCGTCTATTTATGTATAAATTGTAGACACTACTATCATTCCAAAGTCGATTTTTTATTATTTTTATTATCTTAAAAATAGGCACTGCTATTGTTCCAAAGTTGATGGTAGCGTCCCAAACTTTATAAAAAGGATATGTCATTTTCGTGTCAGAGATAAAGCAGTGTTGGAGATAAAAGAGCAAGGGGTTTATGGTATTTTTCCCACCCAAAAAGCAGTTGACTGTTGCTATTTTGTTAGTTGACTGATTTTAGACGCTATTTCTCTAATTGTCAGACAAAAACCTATTATTCTTGCAAATCATCCTAAAATTTAGGGGTATATATAAAAATATGTTATTCTATATGGTCTACCGGTAAAATATACTTTTTTTGATCAGCTTTTCAATTTGGATCAAAACTAATATCTCAATGCTTATTTTTTTAGGATAAAAATTAGCGTTCAAGGTCAATTAATTGCAAATCACATTCATATTTGTTTGGTCTTTGCATTTATCAACACGCTATCTTTTTTCTTTCACCAAAGTAAGTTTGATTTTTTTTTTTCATAACTTTTCTTCTTCTTTAGTAATGTTAATCGCCTTCCTAATGATATTTTAGATCTCGCACTACAATAATATGAGGCTTAGTTATTAATTTATGGTTTTTAGGAAGCATCGAATCCTCATGGATCAGCACTTCTTGACGCCATAGACCAAGATTTACCAATTTTTAGGCGCTATGATATAATCACAAGTGGTGTAAGATTCTCAAGATCAAATGCTTGATGCAATCTTGAACCTCTTCTCCTCCTCATTCCTATCACAAAATAGTCTATTGACACTCTAATTTCACAACTTTGAAAATCTGCACTTTATAAAACAAATTACTTTCACTCATTTATCCTGAATATTTTTTGCATAACGATATCATTTGTACAGAACACTTTTGTGGAGTCAACAAAATACAAAAATGGTGGAGCGATTTCGGAGATGATCGTTGAAGCACCGGTTTGTTGGTACGGCTAGCTTGTAGCTGTGGAGGCTTGTTCCTGAGGAGATTTATTTTTTTCGAGAATAGCGGTCCGTTCTGACTCAATAATTGCAAGCTAGTCTGTAACAGATTTCGGAAATTCCATTAAGTTCTCAAAGAAGTTGTAGGCATCTCACTCCTAAAATTTGAGGACTGGCTTTGGGATGGTGTTTTTGGCAATAAAGATGAGAACTCTAGTTTTTCGGAGCTGCGACAAAAACATAATACTTGTGTTTTGGCGTGTGAATGCTATTTTCTTGTCTAGTTTTGATTCAGTTTTCATTTTCTTGTCTTACTAGCTGTTTTCTTAATCTTTCGTTGTTGTCTACTACTTTTTTGTCGTTGTTTCGTTGTTTAGTAAATTTTTTTTCAGTTAATCTCTGTAACTTCTATCAAAAATAAAAATCGGTAATAATAATCTTTACATTTTTATTAAAAAAAACAAATGGTCCAGAAAAGAAACGACAGCGTTTATATCTTTGGAGAAAAAAAAAAAAACATTAAACAAACCCTAGAGAAAAAGGCCTTTTCTCACCTCTTGCGCATCTAACAACAGTTGCAGACAAACAGAACGGCGAGCTGCGGTAAGAACTCAGAACCAGAAACTATGTATGAAAAGACATTTGAAGTTACTGTTCTACGGAAAATTTAGAGAGATTTTGTTTTTTTTTGTGTGATTGAATCTGTGATTTTGCAGAATAATTAAAAGGTGAGTCAAACATGGCTTATTCAGCGATGAAGCCTGCGAAAGCCGGTTTAGAGGAGTCCCTCGAGCAAATTCATAAGATCAGGATCACTCTCTCTTCAAAGAACGTCAAGAACCTCGAGAAAGGTTTCATCTTTTTGGCTTCTTTCATTTCTTGGCATTTACAAACTCTCCCTTGTTGCATCGTTGATGAAAAGCGACTGAATTGGTCAGCCCATCTAGTCCTAGAGACTTTTGTGTCTCAGTAGTTTTACGGTTTAGAAATCTAAGAAAATCTCAAATGTTGGAAAAGAAAACAGAGCAATTGGTATTTGCATTTATTAATGTATTGATTGACTTCTTATGAGAGCCTAGAGAAAGGTTTGATCTTTAAAGTTCTGAAGTTTCTGACATTATCAACCTCCTTTTTTGCTTAGTTTGATCAAGTGTCTGGATTTATCCTCTGTCTAGACCTTAGAGAGTCAGAGGTTGATAGATTGTTCTGTTGAAGCTCTGTTCGGTGTTGGTTTAGATAAACAGAGAGAAATCGAACGCAAATGTGGGAAGATTAGAACCGTGTTTTTGTATTGGTGTAATGTATTGATTAGCCTCTCATGAACCATGGTGCGTTGTGCTCTAGAACAAAAGAATGGCGTCGATAACTGAATATTCTCTCTGATGCTTTTGTTTTGATCAGTGTGCACTGATTTGGTCCGTGGAGCTAAAGACAAGGCACTCAGAGTTAAGGGACCAGTGAGAATGCCAACCAAGGTTCTTAAAATCACCACCAGAAAGGCACCTTGTGGTGAAGGTACTCTCAGATCATCTTCTCTCCTTCTACATGTTGCTAAACTCAAGATTTGCAGCTAATGTCCCTTCTCAGAATATATGACACTTTCCTAGTTGTTTCTAACAGACTTGATATCTGGTTTTAGCTCTTACCAAAATGCTATTGAGCTATCTGCTGTTTTCTGCTTCAGTCACTTTCTATCAACTTTTCACTGTTTCATGGTGGCTTTGTATCAGGAACCAATACGTGGGACAGATTTGAACTTAGGGTTCACAAGCGGGTGATAGATCTCTTCAGCTCTCCTGACGTGGTTAAGCAAATCACCTCTATCACCATTGAACCCGGTGTCGAGGTTGAGGTCACTATTGCCGACTCTTAGACAAACTCTTGTTTATGTTTCCAAAACCGCTTCTTTCGTTCGTTTTTGGTCTTACATTTTTTGTTTCTGGATACTGCAAACCTTAGTTCTCGGATTTTTGTAGTTTTGTCGATCCTGTTTTCTTTCATCTATTAAGAGACCTTAATGAGCCTTCATACATATTTTCAGGTTGTGACACTAAAGATTATGTTCAATGGTTTCACTTTAGGACACTAGTGACTAATGGTTTCACTTTCCATGAACCATTTCTTCAGCATCCTTCGAATTCGGTTCTAAAAACAATTGGAACAAATATAAAGAGGGAAAAAAACTTAAAACAGATTAAAGTAGGAGACTTCATTGCAATAGTAAAAACAGTAAGTATAAGTTTCATGTCCATGATATGAACACAACCAGTCGACCACCATTATCAAAGACTAGAGGTCTTGGATAGATCGATATGATCAATCACGCTTGAAATAGGGTTTGAGATACCGAAAGAACAAATAGCTGAGTGAATAGTCAAAGATTTCAGGACAAATAGTTTTCATCAAAAATATCCATTTCATCCAAGATGGCTCTTCAATGTATGTCTCTCCTCTGCCAATACCTCTGAAGATTGCTTTTGCGCAAGTACTCACTGATTCCGACATTATAAAATCTGAACCATACTATAAAGCATACAAAATGAAGCACATAATAGACAGTGTCAATGACATCTATATGTGTATATGGTATAAATGTTTTATAAATTATGTAAAAAAACAGTGTTATATTACTTACCTTTTCTATAAAACGAGGAGTGGTCATATCTGTAGCTATAAGTCCAGGTAAAACAATTGTTATTTTGATATCCGGACTTAGCTCAACTCTTAATGTCTCAAAGAATCTCAACAATGCTGCTTTGCTTGCCTACAAATGACCAACAAACATCACAATTATGTTTTTGTTGAATCCCAAGTAATTTTTTTTTTCATGCATGTATAGAAGAAAAAATAGGTAAAAGGAAATTGTTATTCTATACTAAAGAAGATCTTACTGAATAGATGCTTGCCAATGGCAAAGGCATATTTGCTGAACCAGAAGAAATCACAATGATTTTTCCTTTGCTCTTTCGAAGATGAGGAATTGCAAAATAAGTGATGTATGTTGAGCCCCAAAAGTTGATATCCTTGATATACACACAAATTAGATGAAGTGCTCAATAGATCTCAAGCTAAGCATTTTACTTTATTGATGATGGGTTTACCATCAATATAACTGGTAATTATTCTTAAGATACTTACCATTATAGGGTTAGTGTCTTTAATTTGAGTGATATCTTCGAATAGAACAGTTTGAAACACACCAGCATTGTTGATCAGGTGGTCTACTAGCTTCATTAGAAATAATTAATTAGCATTTAAACAAATTTGACACTAGAAATCATACAAGTTTCTACAAAAAAAATTGTTCTTAAAGTTTACCCAATGTTATGTTTCTTTGATATATATAGTCATATACAATGGGAACTATGTGTTGGTCACAGATTACTTGTTTATGGTTTACCTCTGACATCATAATCACAAATCAAGATTTAGATTTAGATAATCTTTTCTTTTTATTGAAGTACTTACATTTACCGAAATGATGAATCGTCTTATCGATGAACTTCTTGCAATCCTCAACCTTAGCAACATCACCAGGTATGATGATGACATCACCAGACCCTAGCTGTCGTGATGTTTCGGCTACTATCTCTAAACGATCCTTTCTTCGAGCAACGAGAGCCAAATATGCTCCTTTCTTTGCGTATTCGTATGCGAGATGCTTTTTGTTTTTCCCCAACCGAACAGAACAAGAACGTAAACAATTCAACCAAATATATATAAGTTTATGTGGATCTATATAATATAAGTACTTGGTTTGGTCAATAAAAATTTTACTTACGACAAAAGAAAATGAAACATGGTAAAAAAAAAAAAGAAAAGCATAACATCTAAAGCTAGCTAACCTCTCCAATGCCGGAGGAAGCTCCAGTTATTAGAACTACTCTTCCGGCTACATCTTCGAAGCGAAGGTAGTGATTACAGAGATAAATCACAAGTTTGATCAAAAGATAAAATGGGTAAAAGAGGTAGAGAAAGATGATGGTAAGAGGAGGAAGAAGAAGATTGAGAATGGTATTAAGCATATCCATGTTGTTAGTTTGCAGATGTGATAATTATGTTGAAACTTTAGTACTCTAAAGGAGAAGACTGTCTTAATAAAGCTAGAAGAGAAAGCATTTCAATTATCACTGTCAGTAAATGTAAATGCAGAGGGTTTGTTGGCCCTCATTAATTAAGGGATTATAGTAGCAAGTGGAAATATTTTTTTTTTCAATTAAAAGTTAATTACAGAGGGTTTTCTTTTTCTTTTCTTTTTTTTTTTATTCAAATATTGAATGATTTGTAGGTAAACTAAATGATGAATGCTTTCACGTGTAGATGTTTAAGCATCTAATGATGAATGATAAAGAATTCGTCTAGCTATACGAGATATTCGGTTCCAAAAAAAATTTGGAACAAATATTAAGAAGGAAAAAAAGATAAATGTATAAATTAATTATTTCATTGGAATGATAAAACTATCCATCACAGGAACACTTATTGGAGAGTTCTAGAGATTTTGGATAGATGGAAATGATCAATCACGCTTGAAATAAGGTTTGAGATAACGAACATATAAATAGTTGAGTGCATAGTCAACGATCTCAGGACAAACATATTTCACCAAAAACATCCATTTTATCCAACAAGGCTCTTCTATGTATGTTTCTCCTCTACCAATACCTTTGAAGATTGCTTTGGCGCATTTACTCACCGATTCCGACAGAATAAAATCTGAACCATACTATATTTTACAATAGAGCATAAAAAAAACACATAAATATGTTAAGCTCATATGTATATAAGTCTAAAATGATTTGCAAGTGTTACTACTTACCTTATCCATAAACTGATGAGTGGTCATATCGGTAGATATAACTCCGGGTAAGACAATCGTTATTTTGATCTCCGGACTTAGCTCAACTCTTAATGTCTCAAATAATCCTAACAATGCTGCTTTGCTAGCCTGCAAGAGTGACCAAATAATATCAGTATTTTCATAAGTAAACTTCTGTTTACTATAGGTATAATAATTTTTTTTTGCTAAAAAGGTAGAATAAATTGATTTATTCTATCTAATAGAAGATCTTACTGAATAGATGCTTGTCAATGGCAAAGGTATATTTGCTGCACCAGAAGTAATCACAATGATTTTTCCTTTGCTCTTCCGAAGATGAGGAATTGCAAAATAAGTGATGTATGTTGAACCCCAAAAGTTGATATCCTGAAAATACAGGTATATATGTGTATATATGAAGAAGTATTGAATACAGGGGTGGATTAATCGTTGTTTCATTTATGATTTCATTGTTTTTATCTTTAGAAAGTATAAACGCTGTCGCTACTGAAAACGTATACGGCGGGGTAGGACGTTGTTTGTGTTTAAAATAGAGATTAAAGTTACAAAAAGAAAGTTTTAATTTATATTTTATTATGAACATATAAGATTTTAACGTGTGAAACTGTTTCCGTTTGAAGCAAGTTAAATCATTTTAGATAACAGCTAAGTATGCATTTTTCTTAATTTGCGGATTACTCTTTTTAATAAACTTGTAAAGAATGTTTTAGAATAAATTAATAAAAAAAAAAACTCACCATTATAATATTAGCGTCTTGAATTTGAATGAAATCTTCGAAGTGAACAGTTTTAGATACTCCAGCATTGTTGATCAGGTGGTCTACTGTCTAGATATAATAACTTTGATTAAAGTTATAATTAACAATCTAATTAAATTTAACAAAAAATCATAATAATTCATATAAAGTTCAATAAACCAAGACACATATATCTATATAAAATCATCAACTTAATTTCAATGAGATTTTTAAATTCTCAACTTTTCGTGTGTACAGAAAAAACCCTCAAATATTTTTTTACTCATTTTAAATCTTCAATTATTATCTGTGTAATCATTTTGCTTCAATGTGATTTGGGAATTTTGCTTCAATTTTGTTGAAATTTAGTTTATATCGAATTTTATGTTAACCATACTTTAACCACAACAATAGTATTACTACTGTTAACGGGATTCGCACGATTTTCCATTTTTGTTTAATGTCGTTTCGTATACGGTGTAATTTAACTATACGGATAACAACAATTGATTGATGATTTAAAATAGCTAGAAAAATACTTGAGATTTTTTTTTAGGCACACAAAAAGTTGAGGATTTAAAAAACTCATTGAAATTAAGTTAAACATTTTATATGGAATTTACTTTTCATTGACATTTAATATACACTAGATTTTAACCACGTGCGTCCGCATGGGAATGTTTTATTTTTTATTTCTAATATAAGTTGCATTTATCTTTTTTGGTTTAGATATAATTTATTTTTGTTATTTATTTTTTTAAATCAAAAAATTGTTATCATATTTTAATTTTAAACAGTAAAATTTGTATATTAGTAGAATAAGAGTATACGTTAATTAAGTATACATTGATCTAATGTTAATTATAAACTTTGTTATTATGTGAATTTAGATTTACACATAAACAATCTATATATCTATGAATTTGCTAATTCATCTGTTTAGTTGTCTTAAATCATTTTTAATATCTTACATGTTTTGACAAACTAATCTGTATAAGACTATAATTATAATGGAATAACCCTATAAATATTTACTAATATGGAATATTTGGACCAATTGATTATAAAAAATATAATAAGATATTTATTTATTATTTGTGCTATTAAAAAATGTATATATATATATATATAAACGGGCTAATCTGTTAGTTTAATTGTCTTAAATCATCTTAATATTGTACATGTTTTAATAAATTAACTTATGGACCTTATATATATATATATATATATATATAACTCTAATCAGCTCGATCATATTATTGTATAATATAAATATTTATTAATCTCAAATATTTGATATTTTAAACCGATTGTTTATGATAAAATACGATAAAATATTTATTTACTATACATTTTTTATAAAAATATTATTTAAATTTAAAATTTTAAATTAAATCTTTCCTGTATTTAAGAAATTCTAAAATATTAAAATTATTATCTAAATTTTCGTAATAAAATTTAATTATAATTTTTTTGAATTTAAATTAAATTGAATGTAAATTTTTGTAACTAAATTTAAATTTCTAATAATTTGAAATTTAAATTAAAAATGACCTAAATTTTAGAAAATCTAAAAATATCTAAATTAATAACTAATTTCGGAAATTAAATATAAAAATAAAATAAAATATTATAAAAAAAACTTTGGGAATGTTTGGATGCAACTCTGTTTCTATTTTATTAGAATAGATACATGTATAAATATTACGAGAACAGTGTGTACATATACGAGCACTTACGTTTTCCGAAATGATGAATCGTCTCATCGATGAACTTCTTGCAGTCCTCAACCTTAGCAACATCACCAGGTATGATGATGACATCACCCGATCCTAGTTGACGTGATGTTTCGGCTACTATCTGTAGACGATCCTTTCTCCGAGCAACGAGAGCCAAATATGCTCCTTTCTTTGCATACTCGTATGCGAGATGCTTTTTTTTTCCCAACAAAATAAGAATATAAAAACAATCTCTACCAAATATATATATCAGATTATGTAAATAAAACCTAACGATTAGATTTATTACTAGTCGCTAATTAATAATTTGGTATCTTCGATTTATAAAACAATCTAGGTAAGACCAAAAGTCAAAACTGAAAAATAAAATAAAATAAATTGACATATATAGCATCCAAAACTAGCGAACCTCTCCGATGCCGGAGGAAGCTCCGGTGATTAGAACTACTTTTCCGGCTACGTTTTCAAAGCGAAGATGCTTATGAAGACAAATCACAAGCTTGATCAAAAGATAAAATGGGTAAAAGAGGAAGAGAAAGATGATGGTAAGAGGAGGAATAAGAAGATTGAGAATGGTGTTAAGCATATCCATGTTGTTCGTTGCAGCTATCACTTTAGTTTTGTTAAAATGTTCGTTTATCTTAACAAGAAAAAGTCTATTTTAATAGCCACATGAAGCATAGAAGGCGAGAAACTTCCAACTATCCCACCCAGCGAGGGTTTTGTTGGCCCTCATTAAGAATTTGTAGCAATGGGGGACCTCTTGAGGTAACCTTCATCCACGTTTTTGTTTCTCAAATATTGAGTGATTTGAAGGTAATCTAATTGATGAATGCTTTCACATGTGGATGTTTCTGGATCTTCCTGCTTTGACCTAATGCATTAAAGTATTTTAAGATTGTTATGATAAATATATATTTCGTAAATATATAAATTACAAGAAAATTAAAATAAACGAGATGTTAAGATTCTAAACTACATAAATTTCTTAATTTTCTAGGAATTTTCAGCCATAACACCCCCCCCTGATTAATAACGTAAAATGTCTACAACAAAATTATGTTGTAGCTTTTTACCAAAAAAAAAATATGTTGGAGCTGATTTGAGGTAGATAGCTTAACGAGGTCCAAAGTAAGAGTCTCTAAGTACATATGGTTTAATTAAGAGAAATTAGAGGATATTTTTCAAGAAACTTCTAAGAAAATCATGTAAATGAAATTAAAAGTTATTTTGTTTATCTTAGTAATGTGCCGGCCACATGATTGATGGTTATTTGTCAAGAAACTTTCGTACAGACAGCACATGACATTGTAATCACATTTAAAAAAAAAACAGTATAAAATCCAAAGACACAACGTTTGGTTAATATCGTAAATATTGCCACAAAATTATCTCATCTCACCAAACGCTTCCCTCATGTAGTCTTGTACTTTTTCATTCTGTAATAGCACGTCCATTGGGGTATCAGCCCAGAATCGTGGCCTAAAATCCAATGCAGAATCGATTTAAAAAAAAAATAGGCCTTTTTTGTGATACTGTCTCTTCCGGACGAAACTAATGATACGGTATCATCTAGATATCATCCACGTGGCGAATTATAATTGGTCGAAAAATTTGGGGATAAATTTTTTTTGGCATCGGGCATTTTCTCTTCGCCAACGCCAAAATCTTTTGGTATCTTTTTGGTCGAATTCGATTCATCATCATCTCCTTCCACCATTTGCGATCCTTCCTTCATCGGTATAGTTTTTCTCTCTCTCAATTTCATCTGTTTCCTCCTCTTTCGTGTTGTGTTGAACTCGATCAAGGAGACTTGGCAATCACCGTGGCGAGAAGGCAATGGAGGCTGAGGACCAATCAGAGTTTGTCGAATTTGTAGTGTTTTAATTGGGGAAATTCTCTGTTCGATAAGGATGACCCCGAAGCTCTGCTCGAAGGAGTCGCCATGGCTGGCCTCGTTGGCATTCTACGTCAACTCGGTGATCTCGCTGAGTAAGTTTCTCTATTCTCATTTTCGTTTCATTTCTCCCTTGGTGTTGTGAAATTTATGATCAGAGTTTGACTTTTTTGTGATGAAGGTTTGCTGCTGAGATGTTCCATGACTTGCACTAAGAAGTAATGGCGACTGCTTATAGAAGCCACGGTCTTATTGCTCGTGTACAACAGCTGGAAGCAGAATTCCCTTTCGTAGAGATGGCATTACTGTGTCAAACCGATCATTCACCATTTTTCTCTTATAAAGGTCGGTCCTTGATCCTTACTTTTGTGGTATTAGGTTTGTTTTCTTGCAAATCAACAAATCGGAGATGCTTACAAAGCAATACAATCGAACATAGCTTGGTTTTCTTATACTTATTTGCAAGATTTTAAGCCAGTTTGTCTTGGAATTACCAATTTTCGAGTTCGCACAAATTCAAGCCATGATCATGACAAGAGCTCTAGAATCAGTTTGATGTGATGACAAGATCGAGTAGATAAACTCTAGTAACCCTCAACTTCTTTATATTCTCTCTGCCTTCCACCTTGAAGCACATTGTCGGATGCATGATTTCTCTAAACTCTGAGCTTCATTTGTCTGCATGTGATTCTTAGCTCAAGTATATAAATCACCTAAAATTTAAAAATAGAATACCATATGAGAGCATTTCTTTCATCAAATGGCACTCTGAAGTGAGCATCGAGTAAAAAGAAAACTAGCCAAAATCTTGATTTGCTGTCTGTAGAATTACATGTTTTCTACTTGTTGATGAGTTTTTTTGATACACTTTTGTTCTAATCTATTCATTCGCAGAAACTTGAGTCCCTTTTAAACACAGAAGCTGCAGAAGTGTTATCACAGCCAAGGATTACGTGTGATATAACAATACGCAAAAATTCAGTAACTTGATGAATGTCTCTCCTTTTAAGAACACAAAACACTCCTTCTCTCATATGAAATAGTTCTCAGCTTCTAGTAGTTTTCAAAGCAGACATATCGGCAGTTTCTGCTCTTTATATATAAGAAATTGTAACCTTGTTTTATAATCTTGTTTTTAATTTTATGTAGTGAATTGTAATCTTGTTTTATAATAAACATGTGTTTAAATTTAGTACCAAAACTAAAAATTTTGAATTTAAAAAAAAATATATTTTTTTTTATTTCTGATGAACCTCATTTTCAGGTTCACTAATGGAACAAATAAATTAGCACAGATTCTTCCCAAAACTAAAAACTATGGCTTTGATTGGTAACTTTGCTGAATGGCGGAATTGCGAAAAAATCTTGCGGAATAGATTAAACGACTTATAAGTCACTTTTCTGCGGAATGATTTTTCCTTTGTATTTGTTAAGCAAAAACGCAGACTGCGTTTTTGCGTGTATTTTTCATTACGCGAATTTTTGTTGATTGGCAAAAAACCAATAAAATTGCGTTTAAAAACAATAATTTTTAAACACAATTCTCTATGTAGTATAAGCGCCTATAAAATAATAATTTTATATTTCAATATACTCCTCTTAAGAGTTTAGTGATGTACATGCTCTAAGTAGTATAAGCGCCAAACCTCTATTCTCACACCAACTGAATTAACTGCCAAATTCATCTACAAATTCATTACTTTTCAACTTGTGTCACGGCTTCATGAAGCTTAGATCACACAGAGACATGAATGGAAATAACCTTGCACGTCGCCATAGACTGGCACACACAGCACAATCCCACTCCACACATTTTCGAACCATTTCTTTCCAATTTCATAAATTGCATATTCCTAAAAGTTCGACGAACAACTGTCAAATGTCAATTTATCAAGTTTTGGAAGCCTATGGCTGCGTTACTTAGTAAGTGTTGGTAAATGTTATGCAAAAATTCAACCCCCTCAATTAGTAATGGTTCGCTAATGTTATTAGAAAAAATCGAACCACCTTCTCATTTAGTCGATGGCAATTTTCAGTGACTATATTTACTCTTGGTGAAAAAATTGTAATTTACAGTAACTAACATTATATTCTGTTTCCAAGTTTAAAAACAATTTGATTCCAAATTCCTAAGTGAGCTTTGTTGAAATTACAAAATTTTGGTAAAACTTGCGATTTCCAATGACAGCCTTCTATATAAACATTCGAGAAATTTTCCAAACCCCTTTCAACACATCATTGATGTTCAAATAGAATTCTCAACGATCTGGAAATAGCAGACAGCAACAGACAACATGCGAATCAAAAGTTAAAAAAATAGAAAATTTAGAGAAAGAGCGATCATTGTTGTGATTGAGTCAGATTACAAAAGACTCAGCAACGGCTTTAAAAGCCTAAGCCAGGGATAACTGTATTTTGATTTTTGTTTCTCATCATCCACAATCACACAACTTCCTCATCTTCTCCAAAAACAAATAACATACAAAAACAAAACAAAAAAACACAAATTCAAGTTAAAGCCTCAGACCGTCCTAGTCAAGTAAGATGCTTCTCTACACTGAAATTTCAGCAACCATCCAATCTAATCATCATCGGCTTACCATAGAAAAAACAATAAAAATCATCAGATCTTCCTATACAAGTAATGAATCATAATACTCAGAAATATTCCGAGCATTCAACAACTTGGCAAAGTGTTCTTCATTTGATCCAATTCTATCAAAAAACATAAACTCAGACAAAACACAATATTGTTCCCCGACGTCCTAAGTAACATCATCGAAATTGACGAACAGGATAGCGAGGGAAACTAAATTTAATGTAGGCTAATACATTCACAAACAAGCTTCACATGAAAATTTATTCAAAGCATGAATCTTTAAAATCATGTAAAAGCCACTTACTTTAAAACAAAAAGACAATGAAAATTTGAGAAGAAGAACTCAGTCCCTTAGATGTTCATAATGAAATGCGATCATTACCGCTATCATTACAGGTCTGTAAATTGACTCATCACAGTTCTTCACACAATCAACAGATAAAAAACTATAAGAGATTAAGATACAACCTAGAAAACATATGTAGTTGCTCTCAAGTTAAGCTCCCGAATCGGCATCATACTAGATTTAACAGTATAATGCTTTGTAATGATTAGAGAGGAATATAGAGAAAACGAGAGCAACACGGATGATTTTGCTTCAAGGGAACGAATCATATGGGAACGGAAAAATCCACATCGACTATCTGAAGAAGCCAATCCTAAATTTACCTTAAACAGAAACAGAATTAAGATCAAAAGCGATGAGAAATCTTAATTGGCACGGAGATAAGAATAAGATTGACTAAACTATAACCCTAGAGAATCGGCTGAAGAACTCTGAGAAGAATTGATTATGCGTGTAAATCTTATATAGGGAGGGTTATTCGTGGAATGACGGTGGAGATGCAATCACCGGTATGGGATTAGGGCTTTCAGTGTGTAAATGACGAAACTAACCTTGGCTGAAATAGTTTAAGCAAGCTCATTTGTTGTAATCTGTGACGGCACATTATTCATGGGCTTTTGTCTCTATGAAGCCCATTATGGCGTTTTTGTTGTTTTGCAAAAAAAAAACCCCAATTATCGTGTTGTATTATTGCTCTTTTAAAACTGTCAACTTCATTTTTGGTGTTCATTGTGTTAATTTCTTACGACGAGAACATGTCAATGTCATTATCTGGCTGTCAATTACCAAGTTTGGGAATATAAAATAATAAAATACCTAATTGTAATGAAAAATCAAAATATGGAGTTTCCGTGTAAATCTCTGTTAAATGAAGGCCAAGTAGATTTCGACTCATTGTCTAGTCACGATATACATGGAAACGTGATGTTTTGCAGAACTCACCACAGTCCGAATCGAGTCTATAGTAAGTATTTACTCCTTTATTTTGTTATTATCATTAAAATATAAATAAATGGAAGTAAAGTATATCCCTATTTGAAATCATGAATATTCCGACGAGGTAAATATCTAGTATCCTGATCTATATATGTAGATCATCCATGATTCAACCACCAAATATTTATAGAAGGTGGTGTTGAACTAAGCTTGAACAAAGCTTGAGAAACAAGGTTTCTAAAAGATTTAAGAAATTTAGTATATTTGGGAGATATCTAAATATACCTTAGGAGTTATCTATAACTTTAGGAGTTATCTAAAGGAAGTTTTCTATTTCTATAATGATTAGGAATTTGTAAGTTTCTCTCTATAAATATGAAGTTGTCGAGATGTGGCAAACTTATGAGATTAGAGAGAGACCTTAGAGGCTTTAAGTTTTGAGTGATTTTCTTAAAGCAATAAAGGTGTTTTTGACATTCTTATAATCTCTTTAGAACTTTATTTGGTATCAGAGCTTGAGAAGAAGATCGATCCAACTTATCATCAACGAGAAAGATAAATCATGGGAGATATCGTTCCTGTTTCGCAGACAAAGGAGATCAATGTTTCATCAATTCAATGTCCGATGCTGAATTCGACTAACTATACCGTGTGGGCAATGAGAATGAGAGTTCTTCTTAAAATCCACAAGGTTTGGGAAGTCATCGAAACAGAGACAACCGAAGGAGACAAGAACGACATGGCTATGGGATTAATTTTTCAATCAGTACCCGAAGCACTTGTTCTACAAGTCGGAGAATTCAAATCTGCATATAAAGTCTGGAACGCCATCAAAGGACGACACGTCGGAGCAGAAAGAGTTAGAGAAGCACGGCTACAGACCTTAATGGCAGATTTCGATCGTTTAAAGATGAAGGACACCGAAACCATTGATGATTTCAGTGGTAAACTTTTGGAAATTTGTTCGAAAGCAGCTGCATTAGGCACTAGTATCGAAGAATCGAAACTAGTTAAGAAGTTTCTTAAGAGTATACCTCGGAAGAAGTATATACACATCGTGGCATCACTGGAACAAGTACTTGACTTGAACACAACGAGTTTTGAAGATATCGTTGGACGCCTCAAAGCATACGAAGAACGTATATACGAAGAAGCTGAGGAAACTCAAGAAGAACAGAGCAAGTTAATGTATGCAAATACAGAGACACAACAGAACAAAAATCAGAACAATACGAATAGAGGCAGAGGTCGTGGTGGACGCTTCAATAACAGAGGAAGAGGACGCGGAAGATTGTATGACAGGTCATATGAGCCAAGAGACTTGTCAAAGATCGTTTGCTATCGGTGTGACAAAACCGGCCATTATGCCTCAAGTTGTCCAGACCGTCTACTTAAACTCCAGGAAACGCAAGAAAACGAAGAAGAAGAAGATACACAAAAGGCAGAATCTCTGTTAATGCATGAAGTTGTGTACCTTAACGAACAGAATGTGAAACCAAAGGAGTTTGAGATACGATCAGATAAGGAATGGTACTTAGACAACGACACCAGCAACCATATGACAGGAAATCGAGCCTGGTTCACTAAAATCAACGAGATGATCACAGGGAAAGTGCGATTTGGCGATGACTCACGTGTTGACATCAAAGGAAAAGGTTCGATACTGTTCATAACAAAAAACGGTGATAAGAAGATACTAGCCGACGTCTATTATATACCAAACCTCAAAAGTAACATAATAAGTCTAGGACAGGCTACTGAAGCAGGATGTGATGTGAGGATGAGAGAAGATTACCTCACATTACATGACCGAGAAGGAAATCTACTAGTAAGAGCAATCCGATCAAGAAACAGACTATACAAAGTAGAGTTAGAAGTCGAAAGCACAAAGTGTCTACAGATTATGACATCTAATGAATCAAAGTGGCATGCTCGCCTAGGACATATCAGTACTGACACCATCAATTCGATGGCAGCAAAAGAACTTGTTATTGGAATAACTAATGCACCAAAAGAGAAAGACACATGTGCATCGTGTCTACTTGGGAAGCAAGTAAGACGACCCTTCCCAAAACAAACAAAATACAGAGCAACAAAGGTCTTAGAGCTCATTCACGGAGACCTCTGTGGACCAATTTCGCCACCAACAGCTGCAAGAAGGAGGTACATATTCGTTTTAATCGACGATTTCTCACGATATATGTGGTCAGTACTGCTAAAGGAAAAGAGCGAAGCATTTGAGAAATTCAAAGCATTCAAAACCGCGGTAGAACTAGAGGCAGGAACAAGTATCAAAACATTCAGAACAGACCGTGGAGGAGAATTCATGTCACAAGAGTTTCAAGCATTCTGTGAGAAAGAAGGCATCAATAGGCATTTAACGACACCATATACGCCGCAGCAGAACGGCGTAGTCGAAAGGCGTAACAGGACTCTTTTAGAGATGACCAGAAGTATTTTAAAGCATATGAACATGCCTAATTACTTATGGGGAGAAGCAGTGAGACACTCAACATATCTAATTAACAGAGTCGAGACCAGATCGGTGAACAATCAAACGCCATACGAAGCCTTTAAGCTTAAAAAACCAAATGTGGAGCACCTACGAGTCTTTGGTTGTATAAGTTATGCAAAAATCGACGCCCCACACCTAAAAAAGCTGGATGACAGATCGCAGATGCTAGTCTATCTCGGAACAGAACCTGGTTCTAAAGCTTATCGCCTCCTAGACCCTACAAAACGAAGAATCATAGTAAGTAAAGATGTTGTGTTCGACAAAAATAAGAGTTGGAAGTGGAGCAACTCGGATATGGACTCAGAAGAAGAAACGGGAACGTTCGCAATTAAATTTGGGCAAAGTACGAACACAAGAACAGAGGAGGAAGAAATAACCGAAGAACCAGAAGAGAATGAAAAAAACGATGACGGTGAAGGACCGAAATTCAACGAAACAGAGGATACAGAGCAAGAAGATACACAACCGGTCTTGAGAAGGTCAACAAGAACTATTGTAAAGCCTCGACATCTGGAGGACTTCGTAATGCTAGCAGAGATGGAAGGAGAACACCTCTTGCTAGTAATCAATGAGGAACCATGGGACTTTCAAGAGGCAAGCAAGATAAAAGAGTGGAAAGACACCTGCAATGAAGAGATTTCCTCAATAAACAAAAACAGAACATGGAGTCTTGTTGATCTTCCAACCGGATGCAAAGCAATTGGTCTTAAGTGGGTATTTAAGATCAAACGAAACTCAGATGGCAGCATAAACAAGTACAAAGCCAGACTAGTAGCAAAGGGCTATGTACAGAAACATGGTGTCGACTTCGACGAGGTATTTGCTCCGGTAGCGAGAATAGAAACGGTTAGGTTTATTCTTGCACTAGCTGCTTCAAACGGATGGGAAGTGCATCACTTGGATGTTAAAACCGCGTTCCTTCACGGCGAATTGAAAGAAGATGTCTACGTCACTCAGCCAGAAGGTTTTCAAATCAGTGGAAGCAAGGAGAAGGTCTATAAGCTACACAAAGCCCTCTATGGACTTAGACAGGCACCACGGGCATGGAACACCAAACTCAACAAAATCCTAAGTGAGTTAGGCTTTAAAAAGTGTTCAAAGGAGCCCTCTCTTTATCGTAAACAAGAGAAGGAGTATCTTCTTCTAGTGGCTGTATATGTAGACGATTTGCTGGTCACTGGGTCAAGCTTGGATCTAATTCTCAAATTCAAAAGGAATATGGCAGGGAAATTTGAGATGAGTGATCTAGGGAGGCTTACATACTACCTAGGAATCGAAGTTCTACAAGATAAGAAAGGGAT